CTGGAGTTGTTCTGAATCAAAGAAAGTATATACTGGAACTAATATCTGATACAGGTTTAAGTGGAGCAAAACCTGCAGTCACTCCACTAGAATCAAACCTAAAGTTAACTTCTTTAGAATACGATCAGGCCACTGGACTGCATGGGGAGGATGCTTTGACAGACATCACTTCCTATCAGAAATTAGTGGGGAAATTGATGTATGCTACAATCACAAGGCCTGATATTTGTTATGCAGTCCAGACATTAAGCCAATTTATGCAGCAGCCTAAGAAGTCTCACTGGGAAGCAGCCACAAGGGTAGTCAGATATCTGAAGGGGACTATTGGACAAGGTGTTTGGTTAAAGTCGCAGCCTTCTACCACCTTGACATGCTGGTGTGACTCAGACTGGGTTGCCTGCCCCAACACCAGGAGATCTGTTACAGGATATGTAGTAAAGTTTGGGGATTCCCTAGTGTCCTGGAAGTCCAAGAAAAAACACACTGTATCTAGAAGCTCAGCTGAAGCTGAGTACAGGAGCATGGCTTCAGCTGTAGCAGAGGTGACTTGGTTGCTTGGATTATTCAAAGAATTGAATGTGCCCATTCAAATGCCTGTTACAGTGTTCAGAGATAGTAAATCTGCCATTCAATTGGCAGCAAATCCTGTATTCCATGAAAGAACCAAGCATATTGAAATTGATTGCCACTTTATTAGAGACAAATTCAAGACAGGCCTGATCCTCCCATCATATGTACCTACACAGCACCAGCTAGCTGATCTACTCACTAAAGGATTGGGACAAGTTCAACATCAACATCTGTTAAGCAAGCTGGGAGTGCTTAATGTTTTGCACCCTTCAGCTTGAGGGGAAGTGTTGAAGTATGAAGATATTTGAAGTATGCAGCAATGAATAACAAGAATGTATCTAGTCCATAAAGAGTCCAGATTCAATACGATAGTGTACTAGTTCATAGAAGAGTCTAGATTCATGAGTTAGTTACAGTTAGTTATACTAGTACTGTTACATCGAGTCATTTAGTGTGTGCAGAGTTATTGTTAGTAGTGGATCAGGAAGATATTTTCAGTAGTATTAAAGAGATGAGAAATACTATAAATTGATGATTGATTGTAAAGATCTGACAGATGAAAATTCTCTTTCTAATGAATTCATTCTTTTCTCTCTAAATCTCAGTCTGCAAAAGATCTGTAGATGCTTCCTTTGAGTTCCTTAGTCTAGTTTTCACACGTGCATACGCTGCTTCATTGAGGTTTTGCTTGCTTCGCCGGAGCTCACTGGTCGGAGTAGTGCAGCCGCAAGATTTGGTGTTGTTGTTGTAGTCAACCTCGATGTGAGAACAGAGGTAGATTTTCATGGTGGTTGACTTGGAACGAGAGAGATAAGAGGAGAGGGGGAGGGGAGAAAGGGTTTTTGTTGGTGGTTTGGGTTTTGCCGGAGGAGGCGACAATGGTGACTGCTGGTCGAGCAGCAAGAGAAAAATAAAAAAGAAAAAGCATTCTCATTCGGGAGTTCACTTGAATTTGATGTATACCCAATTTGATTTTTTTTATTTTCAAATCTGATCCAGATCTCTTTTTGGATGATATAAATACGTGTCATTTTATCTTTAATTGAATTGATTGGTTCTTAAAAGTTTTTTACATGAGAGTTTAAAGTGGTGTGAAATCAACAATGGTGAATTCAATGAAGGAATTTGGTTGCTATGGAGAAGAAAGACAATAAATAAGAAAAAAAAATACATATATTTTTAAAAAAGATATTAAAAATAAAGTTTTAATATTTGTTTTTTGCGTTCACTCTCTTTGAGAGAGAGTGAAATACACTCTCTTTGCCGGCTAAGCATTCAAGGAGGTATTAATTTTAGTTTTAAACACTTCACGAGGGTGATAGGACTCTCGTAAAATTAAAGTGTGTAATTGAAAATTCGAATATAGATTAGGGAGGCTTTTTGCCATTTTCTCATTTTTTTAGCAGTCAATCTTATTAAGAAGAAATCAATGAGAATAGAGGAAGGCTATTTGAACAAAATTTTGCAAGGTTAGTAATAAAATTTTGCTCAGCTGTCAATTATTCTGGTTACCTTTTCGTTTTATTAATTATGCTCTACATTTAATTTGAGTTGGCCAAAAAATGAGTTATTTTAGCTTTGATTTGAAGGTCCGTAACAAAGTAGTTTGTTCTGAATTTAAATATTTAACTACAAACGAAAAATTGTTGGGCTGCCTTTCAACAAGGCTGATGAAAATAAGGTGAGAAAAATGAAGAGTAGATCATTAGACGTCATTCCTTAAATTCTCTGTTTGATATGAGATTAAACATGTAACAAGTTTTGATCTAAAGAAGCAGCCTCTAGAGTAATTTGTGTATTTTTGTGATGATAGTGTAAGCGTATATGTCTAGCTCTAGGCTTATAGTTTGAATAATGGTATGCAGAAGCATCTCTAAATTGGTTAACAACAAACTTTTGAAAAAAACACTTCTCTCCCTTAATTTCTCCGTTATGATTTGGTTTTGAAAATCACAAGAATAACATCATCAGTGGAAGAAGTATTACAAATGAAATTCTATGCTGCAGGAAATAAAAATTAACTACACCAAATACTACTTTAAAAAATGTCATGCATTTCAGTTCTTGGATAGCCTTAATGAAAATATATATAACTTGTGTTCTTCTTTCAATTGAATTCAACATATATTAGTATTGTCTAAAATATAATTTTTGTTTGAATTCTACATATATTATATTAGTATATTGTCTAAGCGATGTACATGTCTTTTAGCATGCGTGACTTCGATTCTTCTTTCTTTTCTTTTTTTATTGGAATGAGGCAACTAAGACATGGCTATGTTAGACACACCAAAAAAGAAAAGGCAACAGAAGTTAGTATACTCACTACTTGCACTTCAAGATTCTCTATAGTGTAGGTTAACAAAATTAATGGATTGATGTATATCCATACGGTTTTCTATTATTCCTTTTACCTCCACTGTTAAGTAGACCAAATTCTATTTGCTAGAATTTTTGTCTTGACTTTCATAGTCTCTTGCATATTTGATAGCATTACTTTTCTATTTACTAGCACATAGTCAGTTTGTTTGAAACTAAAACATTTACTAAAATATTTGGTGTTTCTAATTAATCCAAAAAATGGTGTCAACTTAAATGATTATACTTGATTTCTTTCACTAAAATTCTGTATACGTAACTTTGTTAGTCGGAAAGGATTTGTTGAATCATATTATCCAACAATATAAATATGTTACAACAGCTTCTTGGTACTGTTGATTTAATTATTGACTAAGAATTTCAAAATCCTTATTCAAGAAATCTGACTTTGTAAAAGAGTGTGAATTTTCTTAAGCGTTGTTCCCACTATTCTATGAAACTTGTGAATTGAAATGGCAACATTAGGATCCTTTATGCAATTAAATGGATGCACAAAGTTAGGGTACCTAACTTAGCACTTGTAAACCTCAATATGTATAGGAATCAATCATCAGCTAGGTTATTATAAAGTATAGGTACATAAAAGTTATTGGCTGATAAAGTAAGCTAAACAACTAATGTAAAGGCAAATTACCTAGTTCTGAGGAAAGTATGCAGAATGAACTTATATATTCAGCCCGTCAAAAGCCTCGGTTCATACATGAATAAAAATGTGAATCTTCATAACATGATACAAAATAAAAATTAAAAGGTATTGCAGCAGTCCAAAACGAAGGAGAAAATTAAAACAGAACAATGGTAACAAATTTAACACTCATTTGAGATGGGAAAGGAGTTTAATGAAGTAATGGAAGATAGAAACGAAGTTTGGGATTAGGTGATCGCCGAAGCTGAACACCAGGTCTGGAGAAGTAGTGAAAGATTTTCTTGCTAAATATAACCAAAGTTTCATAATTCCTTATATTTTTCAATCCATCTGAGTCGGATAATGATCAGTTAAGCAGTTTCGGAAGGTGAACAGAAAGTGATTACTCGCAAAATTCATCCAGATTTAATTGTTATTATACTTGTACAATATCTACTCTATCTTCTGCCCCAACTATAATGGATCAAAATGTAAAAATGAATACGAATTGTTCCTATGTTGAGGGTGTTATTAATAGTTTAACACTTATCCAATCATTATAGGTGAAAAACATTCCAACTTAATGTACTTAGAGAATTTAGAAAAACATTAGTACGTATGATATTGAAAGGGATCAATAGTGAGTCAATCTTGATCCATGGTAATTCTATCATTAAACTAGACCAATCTGTTTTAACAAACGAAAAAGTTTTCAAAATTGATCAGTAAATATCAATACCTTAAGGAGTTTTCAGTACTTTGACGGCAAGCTAGCGCAACAATTGTTATCTACTTCGCAAGCAGGTTTTTTATATTGGTAATTCATTCCAACTTGAAAACTGAAACTATCTTTGGCCTTGCACCAAAGATATCAGCATGGTTTCCCAAGTCTGTACGGAGCTTGAAGAAAGTAAAAGAGCTTTAGCATTTTGCTATTTTTTCTCATCTCTAAGCACCATGGCAGTAACAATTGTAAAGCTTTGTCTTGACACCTAATTTTATGTGATGTCTAAACACCTGTTAGCATACATAATTAGAAAGATAGTTAACGATTACGATTTATACATCACATCCGTCAGATTGTGCTAATACGGGATGTTTTGTGCACTGGATTGCCCCTTTACTATTTTATATAAGGAAATCATAAACTTTCTGTTTTACTTTGGGAGGTGAAAGTTAATACATTTTTCTTAAGATCTAGCTTTCAAGTCCAGGGTGAATTGAACTTGAGGTGGTCAGCAGAAGACCTGCAAAACTATCACTCTAATTTTCTTTAACATCTAAACACCATCACAGTAACAGATTGAGGACTTACCTCAGACAGAAAACAGATTGAAAACTCATGTAAGACGTAGAAGAAGCTGATTGATCATAGGAACATACGAAGGTAAGTATGAGGAGCAAGAAAAACCAAAACACACACAGCTAGAAACAAAACAAAGCACAACCATGTTAAGAGTTAGATACAGGACAGCTAGTGCCTCAGAAGGCTTATTGAAATGACCAAAACAGCCTAGTCTTTAGGAAGATCTAAAGCTACTCATTGTAGGACCAACCACGCAACGGTAAAGCAACAACATGCTATATATATACTCTAGCAAGTCAAATTGAAGCAAATGAAATCAATACATGAAGGTGAAAACAAAATAGGACCTCGACAACAACTCTTATGACCAGCTATATGTGGACAATAGATGTTTGATGTATAAAAAGAAATAGAAAAGTTTGAATTAAGAATGATAAAGAAACAGCAAACCAAAGAAGGAAGCAAAGAGGGAAGAAGGAGTGCCCATTTTTTCTCCTTGGTAATTGTCAGTGGGAAGAGCGTGAGTTGCTACTGTGTTTAAATCACGCGAAAACCCAAAAGGACACCAAATGATGAAACTATCCTTGGTCCAGATTTTGTTGCATCTTCAACAATTTACCTGTTCAGTTGGTGGACGATCAAACTTTAGGAGATAGATACTTTAGAAAATCTTTCATGGAAGTAGACGCTTTAGATTCTTGAACTTCAAGACGTCATTGCCAAATAGAGTTGCCATTGTGCCTATCTGATGTTAGCTAGTACTAATCTGCTAAGATGAACTTTTCGGGTTACAACACGCTCATTTATTGATTTAGCTCATTCAGCTGACATAATTTCAATTCAACCCGTCTATTTGACACCCCTTAATGTAAGTTGTAGTCAAGAACTAATTAAAAAGGTAGTAAGCCTTTCCCTTTAATTTCAAGATAACAATATTAAATATTTCAACTTAATCAATTCTTACAAAACAGAGTTAAATTGAAAAGGAAAAGCTATCATTACAGCACAAGACTGAGGATGATATTTCAAGAGCAAAGTTTTTTTAAGCATAGGAGAAGCACTGAAGGAGAAATATGATTGTTTTTTTTCAAATAACTACTGAGTGTAGGATTAGGGAGAAATAGGAACACTGAATCCACAGACAACAAAAATACAAAAAATCCAGTAAACCAAGAATAATCAGTAAATTGCAACTAAGTAAAAGCATAAAGAAGTGAAATTTGACCATTCTATTTCTTACTATATCAATCCCCAAAAATGGTGGGTTAGATTTTTTGAAGTAGTCGGGTTCTCCCGAGAAGGAAAAATCGTCAACTGCCTATATACGTAACTCCAAAAACGTAGGACAATCAGAAATCGCGGCTGAGTAAAGGTATAAAGAAGCCAAATTTTAACATGCATTTTTTTAAAAGTTAACAGACAAAAATGTTGGATTAGATTTTTTCCAGAATTTGGATTCTTCTATTCAGAAGATACTCACCTGAATTGAAAAAGCGACATCAAGCAGAAGCAAAGCGGTAAACTTCAGCGAGCAGAACAGGAAGCAACCAAGGTGGAGGAAGATGGAAGCCTGAAGGGACGCGTGTTAAGATAAAAAGTGGATGAAGTTGTGGTTTTTGTGTAAAATTGGAAGTAAAATGGCAACACTACCCTTATGAGCAAGCACATATGTCGTCGGAGTGATGCTTGGTAAGCACCAACTCCCTCTTATATACTCCCTCCGTTTCAAAAAGATTGATCTGGTTTGACTTGGCACGAAGTTTAAGAAATTAAAGAAGACTTTTGAATCTTGTGGTCCTAAATTAAAGTTATGTCAAATGTACAAAATTGCCCTTAATCTTGTGGTCTTAAACATGCCACGTGGAAAGCAAAAAGTAAAATGTTACCACAAAAAGTCATTTTTTTGAAACTGACTAAAAAGGAAATGAGATCATTCTTTGTGAAACAGAGGGAGTAGTAAAAAAAAAAAAATAGTAGTAAAAGAAAAAAAAAGAATACTTGATAAGAAGTATGATTACTTTTTATATATTTATAATTGAATATCCTCCTTATATGAAGAAGTTGAATTCGCATTTTTTATGACTTTTACTTACGAAATTAAAGGTATATTTAGTTGTCATTAACGTTTATCTTCTTCTTATTCTCCTAAAATGATAAAAAAAAAAAAACATGCTTATGATTTATGTATTTTTTTTTTATTGGCTTATAATTAATTTAGTTATGTTATTTATATATTTCTATTTTTCCTAGTGAATTTTAATGTTATAACATAAGATTTGTTGGGAGGGGTAATATTTTAATTTTTTTATAGGATTCAAAGTCATGTAAATATCTAATTACATCTTATCTAAAAGCAAAATTACTTTCCATCAATGGACAACTTAATTAATCGCCTTTTTCTTAATTATTCTTGGTCATTAGATATTTTCCCATAAGCTTCTCACATCCCAATTGATGTTAACGTTTAATATTTCCATCAAATTACTATTATCAGTATTAAAGTGTAGAAGTGTAGTTGTTGTGCTTGATCTATATTGAATATTTTTTTTTTGAAAAATAAATCTATATTGAATATTATTTTGATGGTAACAAGAATCACAAAGAAGTCTTTGGACGAATTATACAATGAATATTAAATCTCATGATAAGGCTTTTCCTCCTAAGCATAATAACTATATATCCATTTCCTTTTGTCTTCATGGCTTTCCGTATGCACAAATAATTTAAATAATCCATTAAATGACCAAATTAAATCAATAATGAGTTGTCTTTATCTCATCCATTAGATTCTGTCAATAACCAACTCATATAAATGAATTTATAATTTATAAATTAAGAATATGTATCACCATCAACACAAACGACAGAGAAAAGGTGCAAATTTACCAGTTTATTTTATTTACTTATTACTTTCTATGAATATTTATAAAAATGTATATTATTGTTTCAGCAATTTTTTGTTTACTAAGCACCACTCTATACTGTTATTCGACAACTATATTGGAAATTTCAATAAAATTTCAAATAATTTAATTGAAACGGAAAGAAAAAGCGTGCAAGTTTAACAGAAAAGGTTCTCGTATGAATCATTAATTTGAGTTTTACTTGAAATTGTCCAAACTTTAACATTTGATGTCTAATATTTTCTGAAGTTGAAAAGAGCAATATGTAAGTGGGGGCTGGGAAAAATGTATTTGTACTAATATTTCTCTGATTAATTATTCAAAGCACTAAAGAAAGACTAAAAGTGGTTATTTTTATTTACTGAGAATTCCAAAAGACAATCAGTAGCAAAATTTATCGTTAATTCAAGTAGACAAAAATATACCCCAAATCTTCTTCTTTTTCGTCATCTTCAATTTCAGGTATTCGATGAAGTATATAACAATTGGTAGTTGATTCTTTCATATTTATAGATTTTGAGTGCTATACTAATATTTTTTATAGGTAATATTGTATTTTTCTTTTTTATGTTATATATACAATATACAATCATCTCTCTCTTTTTTTTTTATAATTTCTGACAACATTTGGTTAATCATGGTAGGACTCAATAAAATTATGTGTTCGAATATGTATCTTCAAATTAATTAAAGTATTATATATGTCAATTAGTAGCATCAATTTTGCAAAGTTTTCTAACCTCAACTTGTGAATTGTTATTTTCTTTTTGTATGTTTTGATTTTTATTTTATAACACAAAAAGTCCATAGTATATATGTTATTTAAAAGCTACCATTTACAATACAAAATTTATAATATGTTTTAGGAATAAACGTTCAGCACACGTTCCTTGGAACTAGTATTATTAAAAGTGGAAAGTTCCCAACTTAAACATTGGATTACCATTTTACCCCTACACTAAATAAAAATATTATCAAAATATCTTATTAATCAAATATTAAATAATAATCATAATATATATATATATATATATATATCCTTTTCTCTTATTAGTTAAATATAAGTTATTCCTGAAAAGGTTGCAACACTTGAGCCTCGACACATTCCGTTACTACCATTGAATTGAAATTGTAATGGCTTGTGGTTAAAACATTCAGTTACAACCATTGAAATCACGTTATAATTCTCCGAGGTAAATTCTTATTGCCTATTTAATGTATCTTTATATGAATTTTCAGTTTAAAATTCTCTTCAAACTCTTGACTTTTTTTTATCCCTTTTTATAGTTAATGTTATTAATTGAATCACTGCTTTAATTAATTTTACATGAAAAATTCCTTTTCACCCAATTCTATATCTTATTCATTCTAATTCCAAAAGTTTAGGCATTAAAGGCAACGGAAGGTGTGCCATGCATTAAATATGGAGGAATGTTCATCTTCTAATTGTTATTGGAGAGTGAAGACTATAATTGTGTGAATTTTTCCATTATTGTGGCATCTGCCAATAAATAATAAGCATTTTACATGTAACTTTTATTTATTTTGTCTTTTGAATTTCCTCAAATCATAATATAATCATATATCATATATTTATATAAAAAGAACTCTAGGCTGGCCTACGTGGAGCCATCACAAGCAAGAATTTCCTTTTAAATTTATTTATTTCCAAAATACTCTTCCCCTTTCATGAAAATATGTGACTTTTATGAACAGTTGCGACTTTTATGAAAAATTGTGACTTTTATAAAAGATTGTTACCTTTCTGAAGGGTTGTGACCTTTCTGAAGGGTTGTAACTTTCCAAAGAGTTGTGACATTTCCGGTAAGGCACAATAAGCATTTGTTCACACTACCTTTTTTGTCTATAAATAGAGGAATTTCCTCTCATTTTAAAACAACAAAAATTCTGAACTTCTTCTTCTCCTTTTACACAATTAAATATTCATGTACTTTGCTCCTGTTGAGTGGCTCACTGACATCATTGTTTTTGTATCAATACACTTGTGAATAGAATCGTTCCATCATGAGAGGATCTATTACTTTAAACCTCGAGTACTAGAGGGAGATAATTTTCTTAAGGGAACATTGTGCATTCAGTGAACTCAATTTTTTCCTTTATGTTTCATTCTATTGTTATAGATCCTGGTATATTTTTTTACGGTCATTAATTTATGCTTATGATATTAATTGTTGTTTTTGAGTACATGTTTTAAACTTTTTGTTTATGTTTCTGTAAAGTTATTGTTATAAGTATTTGTTAGTACAGATAAATATTATTTATTTATTAGAAATAATTTCCCAAAAATATCAAATAGTAACACTTCCCGGAGGCAAAATGATAAATTATAAAATCAAATTAAAGATGATTGATTGAAGGATAGATGATAAGATGTTATAATTATCATTTTCCTTTATATTATTAATGTTCGTTACTACGTAATCTTGTATGTAAGACAACATAGTGTTTTAGTTTTAATGACGGATAAATTTTAAATATTATTTTATAAATTTTGTGATATCTAATTTCCGCGCGAAGCATGGATAATTTTACTACTACGAATAATAATCATTTCATAGTGTGTAGCTTTTAGTTATTTGTCTTTTGAATTTCCTCCAATCATAATATAATAATAATCATTTCACAGTGTGTAGCTTTTATTTATTTTGTCTTTTGAGTTTTCTTGGATCATAATATTGTTATGTAGTATAATTATATTTACATGTTTCATTCCACTATATAAAGTCCACAATAGAGTGATAATTTTTACTTATTTTTGTTCGATCAGAGATTTCCTCTTTCCCATAAAAAAATATTTGTCCTTTCTCGTCTTATTCTACTCAGCAACATCTGAATAGGTATATTCATGGTGTACATTAATTTCTCCTTTGCTGCTTATCAATATTAGTTGTAGCTTGTGGAAAATATGTTTCCTTTAATTTTCATACTATTTGAGTCTTTTATTTTATGTTATGACTGTCAATTTGATTTGTTATTTTGAAAAGTCAACTGTCAATATCTCACACATAATTGTGTTATATTTTATAATATAATTATATGTACACAACTTAACAAATTATTTTTTTACAGATGATAGAATTAATAATTTTGAATCAAGCAAAGGAGACAAAGGGTACATTTACATGTAATTATATGATAATTAAATCTTTCCATAATTATTATTTTTGTAACAAATAATAATTCATTTATTTATTGTAGGTTTACACCGTGAAATGGATAATGATTTACTATTCATAGTAAGGAAGTATGTTGATCGAATTTATGTACAATTTTTATTAAATACTACATTCCTTTGATGACAACTTCTTAATATATATGCAACTATAAGAAGGTGGAGGTTGTTATTTCTTAAAAAGAAAGGCAAAAATTATAAGACATGAAACATTTTACAACCATGACACCAACATTTTAAATTATTTATTGTGACATATTATATAAAACTTTTAATAAGTTAAATATTCGATGTATATTATAAGAATTGCATATTTAAAGTCGTTAGAGTAATTTACTTTTGAAATTCAGTTGATAACAATATATATGATGTACCTTGCAATTAATAATTTAGGTTGAATCGACTCATTATTCATTAATTTGAGCTTGTATTTATTCTTCAAATTCAATGTAATTCATCACATCACATATCTATATTACCTTAAAAGCATGAACTCCTAACTTGGATATTAAATTACTATAATACCCCTAACTTAGGTTGTGACTTTTTTGATAA